GAATTGTTCATTCAATTTATTAATCTACATTTTTAAATGATGAATTATTCATTCAATTTATCAAGTAGGAATACCAAATATCTGCTGGCAGAGTTTATTTTTAATGTCTTCATGATTGAAAACTGTGGCTTTTAGATTAAGTAAGCAGTTTTAAAACATAAAATTAAAGATGTGATAACTAAACTGAATAAAGAAATACTGGAGTAATTACTGATGAAGATAATAGTATGTCCAGCAAGCAATAACCCTGCAGTAATATAAACCAGGAACTGTTGTGGCCAGAATACCAGAATAAAATAATAATAATCACAAATTACTTTCAAATATTCAATAAAATAACCCCACACAAGCATCTATTTGTGTCATTTAGCCACATTCAAGCATTCCTTCAACATTAACTCTCTACCACTAACAGTCCTTCGAAAATCAAAAGCATAACATTTCATACACAACATAAGTGCAGCTCTCCTCCCGTCACTGGGTCGTCTGAACTGAAGGCATATTTCGACATGGACAAACAAACAGCAAGTGACACTGGATGCCTCAAGGCGTCTGTTCACCTCTCTGTACCCTAACCCCAGACAGACAAAACACGCCTCCTCCAACCAGGGTGTCTGGCCTTCGTTCCAGTAGTTGTTCGGTTGCATAAATGAGCCAGTCATGTTCCCTGGGAAGGGGGGGGGTGAGCTCAACTTGGGACAAGCACGGGTTGCCACTGCCAGCAGAGGTGAGTAAAAGTACGAATAAGCAGTGGACCAAATGGTTAATCGTGTTAGTTTGGCAAAAAAGATAATTTCAGGACACCAAATTTTCTGGCTTAATTCATAATCCAAGCATTAAGCTGTTGTAAGACCCAGACATAATGTACTTTATGTGTCCTAAATGTGTATTCTTATGTAATATTGAGTGCTGGACTGTTTCACAGCCTTATCCATCACTTAAAAGCTTCCATAAAAAAACAGGAATAGCCCTAAAAATTTACAAGGGAGAGGCTCAGGGCATGGCTCGCACACAAATCAAAAGCCTCATAAAATAGCCTAATGTTTGTATGCGAGAGGCGTGAATAGGGTTAACTTTACTGGCAGGAGAATAAGGCTCAGCCCACTGAAACACGCCCATTAAGTTGGGCCGAGAGAGCCTTAAGAAGCCTACCGCCACCGCTCTGAATGTAGGTTAATGATCAGATACCCAAGAAACGCACAAGAACAATGAAGCCTTTACTGCTGATTATGGGTTAAAAAAGGAGGGGAGAGGGAATGGGGGGAGGGAGGGATTAGAGCAAAGGTTAGGACCTAGGCGTGGGTCTTGTTCTTATTTCCAGCACAGCTCACATGACTGAACCAAACACTGGGAAACTGTTGCTGTTCAACACTTAAATATCAACAGTACAAACAGACATTGAAAACCCATTTTAAACTCCAGAAATCTACGCTGAAGGTAAACAATTTAATTTAATTCTTTAAGAGACTGGTCACTTTTCAACTCGCGCTCACAAGAACACGAGCGGCAAACACGGTGTACTGAACTCAAAACAGCTAAATTCCTATCTTTTGCACCTACTGAATTAAGGAAATTGCTTTGTTATCTTCGTCCCTGAAGCCACTTGCATTAATATAAAGCAAAATACATCACTAACAAGGTGTCACAACCACAAGGAATCATCAAGGAAGTTCCATATGAGCAACTAACAGGCCCTCGGTACGACAAATAAACCACGAGGGAAACGCTGTGTCAGTTTTCATTATGACATTCAAGACATGACTCCATCTACACCTGCCACATCCTATTAGGCTTGATGAGATGTCGATCCGATCACAGGCCCAACACATGGCTCGCCCGGGCTGTGCCAAAACCACAGCTTTGCAGTGCCAGAGTAAGCCTCTGTGAGTGAGTAAACCTTGACACAGCATCTCCGGCTTCAGACTGGAAGGAATACACAGACTACTGAGCAAACAACGTCTTTGATCAAAAGTCGAGCAGCATGAAGATTAGTATCAGTTTCATTTCAGTGTAATCACTATTGAGCTTTTAAGATGGTGGAGATAAAAACAGGTTAACTACTACGACTTTATTGTGCACGATAAAAGTCTACACGAGTTGAACTTTTCCCTGTGCTTATTGTGGTACACTGAGCAAAAACATTAGTGTATGCTCACTAGTACTGTAGGGAAGGGATTTTAAAGCTAATAAAATACACAATAACGGTGAATCAGCTAATCTTTAATCAAGAAATCATTTGAGCTCAAGATAATTTATTGTGATTTAATACATTTTAGTTAATAATTTATGTGCAAAATTGTTTTCTTGATGAACTGATCAATTTGAAAAATGCCTATCACAATTAGTTTTATCACAATGTGTCTGAATAATTGTCTATCAATTAACTAATCAATAATATTGACTGCACTTCTAAATGTGTCTCGACAGCAGTTTTGATGCACAGGAAAAAAAAAGTAGAAAAAAAAACCACTACCTTTGATCAGAGGTAACAACTCATTCGCAGCAATCATTGTCAGCCTGAGTGTATTTCTATAGTCAGCACTGTATCACAACATACAGTATACATAACAGTATATATTCATATCAATATCTCTATTGATTTGGATTTTCAAGTATTCCTTTTAAAACCTGAGGCTGTGTGGGACTCAAGGAGCTTCTGTATAAAAAGCAGCACATTTAAACACGCAACTGCTGTATCCATACCTGCTTTTACAACACGAGACCTTGACCGTAATTCATTTCAACAGCTATTGAACAGCTATTGAACGGCTATTGAACGGCTATAGAACGGCTATAGAATATGGACAGCTGGTCTGACTACCTCACATTTTCACACTCAAAGGCTGTTTGGAGACACAATCAAACACTGTTAGATAGACACAAAAGAAACCTCCTACATTGTGATCTCAGATTACGTACACACAGACACACAACATTCATTTATCTGAAATTGTGGGTGTTGCTGAGGTGGCAGATGTTGGCACATCTAATCTATTCCAGTATACCAACCCCGGGCTAAATATATAGCCAATATGGACGATTATACCATTAAGTAGCTTCAGCCACAAGACTTTTAAACATAAACTGTGTTCTGACTTAAGGCCGCTCTGAAGTTGGATATTTTTCTATGCATTTTTGTCAGGAGGGCAACAAAAAAGAGGTACGGTCTTATCTGGAAATGAGAAACATTAGACCAGTTAGGATACAATTACTCCAACGTTACACAGCAACTACATTGGCTGAGGCAACACTCAATGATGCTAGCGGCGCAATGGATCATAGTTCATCCGTTGTCTGTAGGGCTGCCACAAATGGTTTGGTACGCATGTGAACCCTGGACCAAATTTAAATATACTTTTACTGCTGCAGTTACTTTTTAAGAGTAATAATTCCTTAAATCTTAATGCGGCGTTGCACTGAAAGATCAACAAGACAGATACGTGCTGTGTTTTTAAAATGAGACCCACCGTGACTCAGTATTTGCAGTGGTGTAACTGGGAAACTGGGCGTTGTATAAATAGATCATAAGATTGTGATGGTTTTTTTTGCAACTTCGGAAGTATCTGCTGCCTTCCCCTCGACACACAGGAGCAGCTCCTGCCTCTGCTCGTCTATGACACAGCAGCTTTCGGTGTAGATAGGCTTTTATTCCTGACGTGTGAACAATCGGGGGACCTTGAGTGAGACTATAAAGTATTATTATACTATTTAATAAAAAAAATGGTTTTGCTGATCCAATCCATGAATCCCTTAATGATGCTAAATGATCTGACCACCTCGTTGATATTAATCTTATACAAATATCAACTGAGGTGTTGTCATCTTTTCCAACTGCTGCTCTTTTACAGTTTATCTACTGTTGTTAAATAATAATCTTTAAAAAGGTAGCTGAGATCTATCAACAATATCACGGATACCGAGTCATTTAAACTCCTTTCTCTCTGAACCTTTTTAGAGACCGTTTAAAATGCTGTTTCCAGTGTTTCCTCTAGGTTTCGGCAAACGTTTTACGTATGAAACAGAAGTGACACTTCACTGCAACACAAACAAATATATTTACCGTTCTAATGTTTCCAGATGTTTGATATCAGGACGTTGAGCTGAGAACTGAAAAGTTGAACGTTGTCCAATTAAAACGGACCCACAGCGGTGACGTTTTTGGTGGAGCTGTTAGTTTAATAGTCGACTTGGAAGAAAGCGAACGTTTTGACAATAAGCTACATCAACACAACAGTATGTGGAGTTAAACTGGACAGCCCCAATAACCTCTGAATAGTTTTACTTGTTAAATTGCAATGTGAGCGGCAGCCAACGGGGGTGCATTATGTCGGCAGGATCATTTAAAAGGCAACCGTGACTACATTGTGCGTCTGCCCCATTTCTGATACCGTGGTGGCAGAAATTTAACAGAGGCGGGCCGCCGCTCCAAAATCAACAGAGAGGAAACACTGTGTTTCCGTGTTGAGTTCTGCTTTCATTTTACTCAACATTAGTCATCACATAGTGCAAATTTGAACCAAACATGCAACTGTCAGTCTTACTGTAAATATATTTGCAGTCCTCTTAACTGTATAGCATAGCTGTATTATTGAATGAGCATGAACAGTGAACCATACCAACGATATAGGGTTAAACTATCTTATTCTTCAGAGAAGTACTATGTTTAATTCAACACATTAAAAGGAGGTGAAACCAATCCAAAAAAAATTGTCCCGTGAATGAAATACTCATTAACCTATTTTACAGCAGGAGGGTCCGTGTCCCTTCAGAAAGCATGGTCACTGTTAGAGCCAGCGTAAACAGGATATGACTGCTTTCTTAGGCATCAGTTAAGTGGAAGCAGCCAAGCAATGAAGAATGCAAACCACACACCCCCTTGGTCAAATTGTCTTTTCCCCCCCTGAACGCAGACTCTTATTTCCCTCACTACTCATTCATAAAAAAGGAAACTTTAAGGGCTCATTAATAATCAAAAACCTAGAACATTGTAACATTACAACCCAAGCTGTTCCTTCCTCCTTTCTTTCTGCGTTGTCATGCTGTATTCTCCTGCAGGAAGGTCACAGGGCTCTCGAATCGTCAGTCTCTCAGAAGCACATGGTGGATCTATCAAGGCAACAGCAGCCGTTACACACCGAGATACTGCACCCAACGTACCAAACAAAAACAACGCTCTCCACACATTCAGCTCCTGGCAAAGGCTAGCACATGTTGTGTAATCAGGAGGCTCCACCCTTTTCACACAAAGATACACACACACACGCACAAAGCGCACACTTGCAGGGCCTCTCGAAGACGCAGACGCTCGGCTGATGGAGCCGTCGGCACCCAGGCTCAGGCTAGAGGTACTTCATATCATAAACGGTACTGGTGCTTTCACAGTCTTGTTTGAACTGAAACCCAATAAATGTGATCTACAGCTTGAAGTGAAAGTGATACTAAGCAGAATTTTGAACCTAATAGAGGAAACAGATCATTTCTGCCTTTGGGATTCTTTCCATTTGTTACAACCTTTCCAAAGAGTTGCTCTACCTACCTAAGACCAAGCTAGAGGGATTTCCTACACACCTGAAAAATTAGCAACACGGACCACAATAATCAATGACAGTAATTTATTAATACTGAAGAGACACTGGTCTTCACTTTGAGACGGAAGAGTAAAACAAAAACCGTTTTGGGGGGTTTCCCTGAAGATACTGCTCTGGTGTGATCACTCAAAACAATAAAAAGAGGAACCAGACTAAACTCGAGTACACTAAAGAATTTTGTCAAAAGGTCAAAACCGTCAAAGCTTCATTACAGCCAGAATTCATAATGTGAGTGTTGCTGAAGAAATGCTGCAAGATGGCAAAGGGATCTAGATCTAGTAGGCAAACAGTCCAAACATCTCCTAGGCTAGGCTAACCCTCTCATGAAGAAAGGCCTTCAGCACAAAGGACACCACGATTAGAAGTCAGTGGCCGCTGTTTACACCTGGTTTTAACACGCGTCTTGGGTGATCTGATCACAACTGGACAGCTGTAAGTGCAGGTGTGAATCCTCCAAGAACCTCAGATCACTAAGACCACATTCAGAGGAGGTCTGGGCCACATATGGTCACATTCTTTTAGCAGTGAGTGCATCCTGGGCAACATTAAAGGACCGCCAACGATCATACTGAAGTGCAAAGCAAGAAGAAGAAAACAACAGGCAAAATGGATTCTTGTGTTTGGAATAAACACAAAACTCACTGTCTGAATCCTGTGCTGTGAACACTGACTCTCAGCTAGCACAGGAGCTGGGAGGAGGAGGTTTAATAAAGCTAAAACAATCTTCATTAAAGCCTGGAAGCTGATGGGACAGTTAGCTACACGACTAACTTAACTTACTAGTTAATGGCAGCTACAGTTAGTGGTTAATTAGCTACATGTACTGTCTATCCATGAGGAAACTCTATAAATCCCAGAGAGTAGAGGCAGGGAAGCAGGAGGACATCAGCGGGAAAGCCAGAAAATATGTTCACCATGAAATATGATCCAGTTTTTTTTTTTTTTTTACCAAAATCAGCGAATTAAGTTAATAAATAATAATAAAGATGTGTTTTCGTACAGTAATCAGTGAAGGCGAGGACCCAGAAACACTTCAGCAGTTTGTACGGTTTTTCAACCCTTTTATTTTAATCTATTCTATTTATTCTATAAATTGCACCTTATTTTTCATTAAACTAACCTGCATTTGTACCCCACCACATCTACCTCGTTGTGAAGGTAACTTTCTTAGCAAGGCACTTTATTATAATGCTTTCCTTAGATTATGTAATATACCATCAACAAACTGGACAAAGCTTTTTAAATTGACATACAGTCTGTTATGATATGCAACAAATTATAAAAAAGGTGTTGAAACCTGTTATGCTTAATAAAAATGCTAATTATAAATTATAAGTTACATATAATCCATCCATCCTGATAACTAAAAAAAACAAACCACTGCGATGAAAAACCAACCCGTCCCGATTAATAAGCAGCACACTAGGGAATACTGTATGTGCTTACATAATTGTTCCTGCTTTAAAGCACCTTGGTCAATACCCTATTCTCTAAGAGGCTTAAAGTCTGTCTGGAAAGGCCATGGTAGCCATGGTATGGTTTCCCAGTTACACATACAGTCGGTGTAATGTACATGTCGATGATAAACAAGCGAGGACATCTTGAAAAAGGTTCAAACATGATTTAGCAGATGTCCAGTCACACTGAACTGACGCATTAGGTTGTAAAGACTGTGTTAATGGTAGATCAAGACAAACTTTGTGCCTCCTAAGGTCGTATTTCTTGACGTGCGTCTGCATTGCTTTTTTCCACACACACACACACACACACACACACACACACACACACACACACACACACACACACACACACACACACCCTCTCAGTGACTTGTACAAACATTCGCCTGGACTGTGCGTGTAAAACTGATGCGATTGCAGACCCGCCCCTCATCTGATTTTCCCGATCTGGCAGAAATTAAGAGGAAAATCTGATTTTTGTGCATCCAGACCTGTCACTCAATGCATCCGGGTGAGATCAGAGGATGAATGTTGGCACTGAGTGTTGCCAAGATAGACGGAGCAAAATAATATTTCACATGGACCAAATCTACTCCCTGGCTTGAAGTCCCAAAGTTCTTCAGACTACCAGCACAGCCGGACCGCAACAAACAAACAATGTTACATCAGTATATACATTATTTCATTCATCCAGTTTTGATTAATTGATTAGGCTAATAATTCTACTACTACACAAAATAATTGTATTATGTCAAGACCACAATTTAAAAAAGCAAAAAAAAAAACCTAAACTACTCGTGTAGAAAATCAGATATCTCAATGTCTGAGAAGCTGTTACCTGAAAATAATTTTTACTTGGCAAATGAATATGACTTTGAATTGACTGATTTTACTTTCAAACGAATAACATACATTTTTGTGATGCGCCGTAGATTATACAATGTCACACTATATCATAACACAAAGAAACGTGAATAGTTAGACCCTGACCCAGTGGCCAACTCGATTTTTGAGTAGAACGTATCACGGTTGAGCAGCTGGTTAACTTTAAATATATATTATAATCTTGTGTTTATTGGAAGACCCTCCCTCAAAATCAAATACTCCCAATTTCTCTCCAAGTTACACCATGTGGAAAAACTGCAAAGGCACCGTGAGTAAGCAATAAAAAAACAATCTAACCTCTGAGAGAAAGAAGGATGGGTAGTGGTGAAAGAAAAGGGAAAATGAGTCAGTCAAGGGAAATGTGCTAGAAATTCTGAGAAAGACCAAATTAACACAACCAACACGAGTCAAAAATACTGCACTCTCACAGAATAAAAGGTCATGCTGCGTTCATCACTCAAGGTCAACCAATATTTGGCCATGTTGTTAAATGTACCCTACATAAGTGGTGTGTATCGAGATTTAATAGTGGCATTAGTCAGTTGGCCATGACAGTCAATGGCACATACTTTGAAAAGCAATGTTTTAGTAGTTGCAGCACCACATGGCACTGCATGCTGTAATATCTCTTTAAAATACAATATGATAAAGCTATCAAGGCCATTAAAACAGCAGAACATCACTGCCACACAAAGGCCCTTACCTGTTGGTAAAAAAAAATGGGTGTTTGTAATGCCCGACAGTGGCAGCCATCCAAATTAACTGGACAAGGCTTCAATGTTTTGGGCACAGCCTCCATCTGGCTCTAGGTAAGCTGCACGCTCCAAATGATCAATTTCAAGTGCGAGCCAAGCAATATGTTTAACCACACCTACACTGTCAATGCAATGCAATCCTGTACATTGACACAGGTAGCATTTATTACGAGACCAGAGAGGTATTGGTTCAACACGCTGAACCGCATAGCATCATGTCATCTGACGTGCAACTTTGATGCCTGCGGAAGAAGTAAAAAGGTACAGCAACCAGAATATGTCAAATACAGAGTGCAAACGTGATAAATATGTTCCTCATCTGGAGCAGCAATGTGTGTTTTGTGGTGTGTGCCATTAAAGAATCAAGAACTGGTCGTGCTGCTGTGGTTCACCGTTTTTTTAGGTTCATCAGTTACGTCACACAGTTGGATAAAAGCGGTCTAACAACAACAGGACTGTACGTTTTCTGTTGTGGTGTGACAGTATGATATCATCATTTGTTTAACGTGCAGTAAATGTTTTCCTAAGAACTATGAAAGAAAAGACAACACAAAACATCAGGGTGTGAGCATATCACAATATTGGTTTGAGTAAAGAGTGAAACATGCCCTTAAAAAGATGCAAGATCACGTAGAAATGCCACGCTATTTGTCTGAAGAGTGCTGTCATTTTAATGTCAAACCCCTCTAAGCTGGCAGATGATTGAGCTGTCAGAAAGACTAACATTTCAGAGGGACTGCAGAAAATAAAAAAAAGGATACACCTCAGCCTCAATGACGCAACAAAAAAAAAAAAAAAAAAAAAAAAAAAAGGTACTGCGGGACTGATGCCAGAGTAAACATAACGCATTGCAAGAAGCTGTATGGTGATGTCTAACCCAAATCTTACACTTTTTCATTCTCAATCAAAGCACCATCTGATACATCCTCAGTTGCCACGTACACTTGCAGGATGTTTACCATTCTCATGTCCTTTTTGTTTTAGACCTGCGGTTGAGTATTGAGATATTAGCACAAAGTCATGGACAATAAAAGGGAAACCTGTAAAAATGTGTTTGGCAAAGTGGGTGAATATGATTAGACTGGAACATCTTACTAATCCCACCACATACAATTAACTACAAACTAGAAGTGACGCTTACTAACGCTTTTTATGATAATATGAGAATAATAAGAATTATTTTGCCAGGGCTATGACTTGCAACATTTGTGTTTGTTGTTGCAGTGCCTGTATAAAAAATAAAAAAGGGACTAAAACATCAAATGTTGCCAGTGAATAATGGATTAAATAACAATTACATTAAAGGATCAGTGTGTGGGATTTAGTCACATCTAGCGGAGTAGTTGCCGATTGTAAACGCAAAGGAGATACACGCAAAAATACACAAACAGCCCGATCTACAGCCGGTGTTTGATTTGTCCGTTGAAGAGAAATATGGCAACAGGGCAGCCTCCGTAGAAGGCGACCAGCAGTGTCTGTAAATATAATACCTATTTTCAGTAGGGATGTAATTCTTGGCTAATACCAATGTTTAAAATAACTACTTGGCATATGCGGAAACCGATGTTTTTTGTTGTTATTTATTCGCCTTTGTGTGCCAGGTAAACACAGAAATCGTCAAAGGTGAGCTCCTCTGCCTCGTTACAACTTTGTCTTCTTCTTTTCTCAACAGCTGCATAGAGCACGTAGCTATGTGTTAGCAATACGCACCAGTGCTGGAAAACGGAGGTGATTATTTCTACAACATCCGAGTTGGAAGTAATTGTAAATTGATGCAACACAACATCAGTCACTGATATCAGTTAACTCCATCTTGTTTGCCAATAGCGCTACCAATGTTTGTCCGAAATATCTGTGCATCTCTAATTTTCAGGTGATTTTACACTAATGAAAATGCAGCTGCGCATATTATATTCCATTTCTGCCAATATATCCTCCTAAATGTCACACACTGGACCTTTAAATTAAAAATATCCTCTTGTAATTACAGCACCTGTGCATTTCCAGGTTACGAGGGACTCAATTTTACAGGTAGTAAGTGTGTCTTGGCCAACTGAAAGTATGCAGTAGTCATTAAACTAAATACATTACCACAATATTATCAATGGGTTCCTCTTCTCTAGTTTGAGGTGTGATAATGAATCAAATGACTACGTATAGTTTTTAGTTTTAGCTGAAATGAGAACCAACAAAACCCCCCGTCTTCCATGGTATTCTGTTTGACAACCACAGCCAAGTCCAACCGCCACACAGCGCACGGCGTGAATTTAACCGCAAATTACCAAATACTGGTTGGCCTGGACGACCAATTGGTCAATTTTTGCTATTTTCTTTAGGAGGTATCGAGAAGATCTGCTGTATTCAAATATCCCCTATGGCTGATAATGCTTTTAGTGACCCATCAATTGTTAATTTTACATAAATTCTAATAAAAGGTTTGGTAAGAACATGGCTTGATATATCTTTTTGTGGTTATAATAGAAACATTTTTTATGCAGTTGTGGTTTCCTGTGTATTGTTGACGTGTTCTCTTGTGAGCACATAAGGACAAAACCCTCTAATGTTGAAATCACAAAGTACTTATTTTGTGAACAGAAACCATGAAAATAATTAATACCGTCTTCCTTTTCTTGACATGCATGGTCTTAGATTATTAGGCTTCCTACGTCTTTGACAAGACATGAAATAAATATCACATCTGACAAAAGCTACATTTAGAGTCTTAGTTGAATAAAGTGTTAATACTGTTTGAATTATTTAATATCTGTTTCCTTCCAATGATTATATTTGTTCATATTATGGCTGCACGAAGAATTGAAATTAATTGTGCAATCACAATATGTCAAAATAATAATTGCAATATGATTTTTTTTTTTAAAAAAAACATTGTGCCACTCTAGTTCATATTAATGTACTGTATTATAACTCCATGGTAAAATCTGTCTTTCCCTACAATACTAACATCACACAAGTATATATGTATGAGATGAACAAATAATACTGGCAATTTTTGGTACTGCTTGTGGTGAATGGGGGATTGCACAAGCTTCATTTTTAGTGCGTATTAAGTGTCGTCTTCAAAAACATAGCTCTTTAAACTTGAGGTATTTTACATTTAATGTTGACGTTTTACTGGTTCAGAGCAGTCGTTGCACGGACAGCCATCTAGAAAAAAAAAAAACAGGCAGCTTTTGTATCAGGCAACACACCCCCAAGATGCCACAGGCATTGGCTGGGAGGCTCTCCTGGTTATTCAAGCTATGCTACTTCCTTGTATGAATTAGCGAAATCAAGACTAACGTTAGATATTCCTGTATTTTCTTCTACCCCAGACTGTAAAGCTATCACACCTACAGCTGAGGCTGGGTGTAAATAAACGGTGGCGAGCTCATTGCAGACACCACCACCCACCTCACGGTAATGTCGCTCCTGCTTTCTGCCTCCAATGCACAAGACGACACTATGTTTGTTAAGCGCTAAAAAAAAAAAAAAAATGTACAACTTGGCTATGGTTTGGTAAACACACCGAGCCACGGTCTCGGTGTGCCCCCTGAAATGCGTCCCACATGTACGTGTGTTGTGTAATGTGCAACTCTGTCGCCAAGATAAAGAACATTCAAGTTCACGTCTTTTTTGTGCGTGTGTGTGTGTGTTTTAATGTCAATATCCAACACGAGAGGAGAGCAGAGCACAGCCCGAGACAAAAGCCCACTGCAGCCCCCTTTTCGCTGCCCCTCAAAACGATCCCCCTCCCCAGCGTTTCATCTAGATAGCCAGCAAAGCTCGTTTCCAACCCTTTTCTTTTTTATTCTTTATTTTAAACACAGCCCTCGCAGGCTGCGCTGGCTGACTGGAGCTAACCCAGCTCACTGTTTTCGCCCCCGACATTTTCCTATTCGCCGTGCCGTACTCTCGTAGCTAGTTGTTACACGCAGATTAACGAGTAATTCTCTCTCTCTCTTTTTTTGTTGTTGTTGTTTTTTTTTTTAATCGCTCACGAAAAGAAAAAGTAGTCAACGTGTGTAACGCACGTGGCACACAACCCGCACCGAACCCACGCAGACACATAACATTCCATTTTCGCACGCAGTTTACTTCACGTTAGCCGAACGTTAGCCTGCGCGCTGTGCAACTTAGCCCAACGGCTAACGTTATTTTTTTTTCTTTCCTTTTACCGCTTAAGATCCGTAGGGGAGTGAAAACAACCCCCCCCAAAAAAAAAACTGCGCTTACCTTTGCACCGGGTTACGCGTTCCCACCGACTCATTCAGGTTCAGCTAGGTGTTGAATGTTGCGCAATATAAATAGTTATTTCCTAAATATTGGACGTTAACCGTAGCCTACGGCTGTGTGACGTTCATCGCTGGTTTTGAAAACATCCCAGCCGTTCGTCGTCCGTCCTCTCCGACAAAACCCCAGCAAAACATGCAAGCGGCGCTCCCATTGGTCGAGGGGGGGATCACGTGTCCGCCCGAGCCCCACCGAGCTTATAAGGTCTCCGTCTGCTGGATAGACTTGAGATCGGGTATGTGTCAAACGGTTTTAACGCTCGTTTTTAACGACTCCCGTGAGTAAACCCGCACCGCCGGTGTCGAGAGTGTCCTCCGCGGTTTTCACGTTGTCTGTCTGTCAGCTAGCGGCGGGTATAACCTCTGTCGGGGGCCGTTAACGTGTGAATGTGGACTGACATAGGGGGGAACGGGAGAGCAACGGCAATGGCCACTTGACGTCATCTTTTCCGCCGCTGTGTTGCGGTCAGTGGGAACTTTCTCGAAGATCACGGATGAGGGTTAAACACCGGGAATGGCGGCTTCTTGCTCTCTCTTTTGTGAGGCTACACGGGGGGCTGTATGGCTTGTAGTTTCATGAATAAACGGGAATCCGCCCTGTTTTTTTTTCAGGCCCGCACGTAGCTTCAACCGTTTCTCGGCCTCGCTTTGAATCGGTTGCGCAGTGACATTTGCATCATGGAGGTGTTCTGCGCGCATGCGTCATGATGCATAATATTGTATGTTGCAGAGCAGGCTTGAAAGTCGCAAGAGGAAACCGGAGTGGGGGGAGGGGACACCGGCTAGACACGAAAACGCCACCGGGGCGTGATGGAAATGACAGGAGCAGTTGTAGGAAGGGTTGGGGGGGGGACGGGCAGTGTGTTGAGGGCAAGAGGGTTTATCATATGATGGCTTAGACCGGATTAACCTTACAGATATCTCGGATTAATTAAAGTGAAAATATAAATGTGACATTACATTTTGGCTGGTCAGAGTGCTCATTTTAAGATACCTGTACACATTATGGAGATTTGAGTTACTTTTGGCTTTGAGTTATAGCCTCTAATTAATGATAATGACTAGTTAAAACACAAATATAAAGGATATCTGCAATTCAGCTCTAACTAGTGATAGTTTTCAATTTAGAAACATGTTATTATTCACAATTACACATTATTTAATTTCTTTTTTGGATAGTTGGAGCTAGGATGATTGTCAAAAAGGCACTGGGTAGTCTTATGTGAACTGAAGACAGCCTTTCTGTGATATGAATTCAGTCAAACCTATACGTAATCTTGTACATTATTAATTCTCACTTGGAAATATGTATTTGGATGTGTCTCCTATTTTGCTGATTTCTGTAACGTGCCACACTTGCAGGTGATAAATGTGAGTGGGCTCTTCAAAATGCATTTGTATGTCTGCGGTATGTAATTGATAGTCAAGTGAAACCCTTCACAAAGCTTGTCAGAGAAGGCTGTCACTTAAGTAGCTTTGACAGTGGAAACTGTGACATAAGCTGCTTTTGTTGTACAGCACGGCATCATGTGGTAAAGCTCGGTGATACTTTAATTAAAATAGTATTTTTCTGTAAACGCTAGACCAGGATAAGACGTGGCAGAATAATAATTCCAGAGAATATCTATAAAATACCGACAATCAGCTCTGTAAGTGTTTGTGCAGTGACACCATTTTGGTTATCTTGGCTCCGTTTACCACCACGATGGATTTTTAAATAAAACAGCATGTGTTGCCTTCAGTGCAGACTTTCAGCTTTGATTTGAGGATATTGACAGCAATAAATTGGTCAACAATACAGGAATTACAACCCAATTCATCCATACACCCCACATTTCACAGTACCAAAAATAATTGGACAAATTAACACATTATTAAATAAAGTCGTCTCATTTAATACTTGAAGTCTGGAACCCATAGACCCCCTTTAAGTGAAGTGCACGCTCTGTTGGCTTCAGGTCTGACTTGACCATTCAAGCTCTGTTTGGTCGTTGGCAGTATGTCTTGGGTTATTTTTCTACAGCCTGAAGCATCGTCCATATAGATTTAAGTCTCTATACGCCTCAGCATTCATCCTGCTGCTTTTATCAGCAGTCGCGTCTCTAATAAATACGAGGAACCCGGTTCCAACAGCAGCCATAGACCCATACCTTAACATTACCTCGACCCATGTTTAACAGATGACGTTGTATGCAAACGATAATGGGCTGTTCCACTAGTGGAGGTTTCTATGATCTTGGTTCCAGAGTGGTTTGCATCTTGTGTTAAACTCCTGGTTTTATTGAGACGGATATGCCTTCTTCTTGTGTGTCTACCACACTGTCACGTCTTTGGCCCTCATCCTGATACCAGCAATATAGAGACTTAGCATCTACTCTACTCTCTTAATCAGCTGATTTGTGCATGAACTAATGCCTGAATGTGTTATCCCATCGTCAGTTGTCGCCTGTCCTACGAACAGCTGTCCGATTACTGTTCATCCCGATAAAGAGGTGGACTACAAATACGTCTGTAATTCCTACACCATTCATCCAATACCCCAAAATTAAACCTGAATATCCGCACATGGAGCACATACTTGTTCAATTTCAGAACCATCATGGTGGTGTGTACAGAGCCTAAACAACAAAAGTGGTGTCCCTCTCTAAATACAGTTTCAGGCCTTATTCTACTGTCAAGAGTGCCTAATAAAGCTTTAGTAGCAGCACAGGCCAAATATTAACGTATAATCTGTACCAATCTATTTTCAGTTATATAACCTTTTCCTTTGTTGGAATCCTGTAATTGACACACTGACACCTATAGCAGAGGTACACGAACAATTTATTTACACAATATGTTTGAGTTTAACATAATATATCATCTTTAGGGACAAGTTGTGTTTGAAAATAGTGGCTGAGGGCGGCCGTCTACAGGTCCGCTCTCACGCCGAAGCCGGGTCCTTTAGGAGGCTCCGTCAGAGAAGTCAATCCACCCGCCGGCTCACATGAAAAACGCCCGTTCCTGCAGAAAAAGAATCAGGTTTATTGCCAAGTAAGTTTAAAGAAAAAGGAGCCTCTCTATAAATGCATAACATAATAACGTGCAAGCACTGTAATACAATGTTAGAGTAAAGTCTACGAACTAATTTCATTGTTCAAACAGAAAGCTATGACATCAAATTCACAATGGTATTTTGAACGTACCTGGGCCCCGGTGGTGGAACTCGGCCGGCTTTAAGTTCATCAATAATGTCCTCAATGTCTTTAGGAGAGAGGTCCTCCTGGAAACAAGACAAACAGAGAATAAATGAGAGGAAAAAAGCAGTGAAATGTTCATTTTTGTGCTACATTATTAAGAAGAGTGGAGGAGGTAATAGTTGAAATTCTACTTGTTTGCAAGGAGCTTATAATGATTATAGATAATTCTAAAAAGCAAAAATTTTTCAGACATGAAAGCAGGTTTCACACTTGAAATCAAAATTACCAGATTTACTAAATAATAACCCTTAACATTTCTAAATAACTATTGTCAGGGATAAAAGGACATGCAGAATAATCCAAAACTGAATCAGATTCAGTGGGCTAAATATTAATATGCTACCATAGATTCATTAAAGTTAATGCTTTTTATCACAGTCAGTGCTAGAGAGGTTAAAACTGTGACAAATAGCTGAAAGACTGTCCATTTATTTTAAACCCAAGCAACCAAAGCAGGTTTAGTTATGGAAGATTATTTTTTACAGACAACCGAATCACACAATGTAGTGTTTTACAACTGCTGATGAATCTCTAGTCTTCCCCAACAGCACTTAAAAAAGAGCTCAGTTACTGCATTACTTTGTATTTTATAATCAACTGTGTTAACTGTGCATAAAGAATGAATCTGACCTGTTTACAATCTGTACCATCTTGAATACAACTAAACGCATATTATTGATGACTGAATTAATCTAACAGCCAAAGACGGCGTGAATTTCTGACTGCTAATTATTCACATAAAATGCTAAGTACTAACTTACTCTTGGTGTTAACACATTGTACCTTTTCTGCCTCTAATGATCACACCTCAGCAGATTCCTCCTTTCCCAGTCGTAGTTACTTTAATTGGGTCATTCACTTGTGCTCAGCTTGCAATAACTAAATTCCTCATGGCGATTGAGTTCAGAATCAGTTTCAGATAATGTTTAAGTTGATATTTTTCCAAACTGAGGTCATGGATGATACAATGTTGTTACTCCAGCCATATTATTAATTTAAGATAGATTATTTTTCTGTCACGGGTTTCCATTTCTCAAGTCTTAACTAAGTGTAAAACTGTACCACACCTGCGATGGCAGCACTCCTGAAAATAAAGATGTATTCTCCACGGACATTCTTCGCAAAACTCATTTCGGGGTTTTAACTTGATTTTGTTAATTTAGTTAAAACGTTCAGTGAGGAAACCATCTGCACAGAGTCGTCGAGCACTCACATAATAGTTGTCATTGATCTGGACCATTGGAGCATTCACGCAGGCGCCCAGGCATTCCACTTCTATTAGCGTGAACATCTTGTCTGCAGTCGTCTCTCCAACCTTGATACCTGTGGAAAGAACACATGAAGACATGCTTTATATTGTGCTAATCTCTTCTGACAAGCTGCAGATTATGTTACTGAAACAACACATATTTTAAACTCAAGCGGTATCACCTGACGTTACACAGCTGTAACACTATATGGGAATTATAACAAATCGTGCAACAAATATGAAGGTTGCTTTAAATGCCACACAGACTGGGGGGGAAGGTTAGCAGTCATCTGGCTTGAGTTCAGTCTTTTATGTTTTCTTGTTTGCTGATACAGCTCACTGTTGTTTGAACTGCAGAGACATCTGTATATTTACATGTGTCCCCAATTTCTGTTTATCTCAAATATACACAATAAAAAATTGATTGTTTTCATCTGGGTTTTCATCCCTTTATTGGTGTCCCACCGTAAAATGGAAAAATGGCTCGCCTACCCAGTTTGTTTTGGATGGCCTCCAGGATGCTGTCTGAGTTGCAGAGCATGCAGGGTGTTGTTGTGCAGATCTGAATGAAGTATTTTCCCACGGGCTGACGCAAGAACATTGTATAGAACGTGGCTACTTCATACACTCTCATTGGAGCGATTTCCAGCACCTCAGCGACCTGAAAGTAAAACAATTACAAACATTAATTTAAGGTTAACCTTACATGACTCAGAAGACATGGTGTTGTATGGTTTTTCATAAAAATGTTGTCCAACTGATTGTCCTCAGGATTAGAAAGCACACAGCTGTAAAACATTAAAGAATCACTGTGCCTTGTTCATGGCGGAGATAGGGAGCCATCCATGTTGCCTCTGGGCTAAATCCAACACTGGGATGGTGGCTGCTTGCTTGTGTCCAACAGGGTACATTGATATGATGGCCTCAATCCTCTACAGGGGGGGAAAACAAAGACATTTTAGCATGAATGTGGAGATTCCCAGAATAAGAAGCATTCCTTTTTTTGTCCTTCAACAATTAGACCAATTGAAAATCTAAAATTATGCTCACAAGAAAACATTATTATTGGTATGTGCATAAACAGTTTAAAAAAAGAATAATTAGTACTTTATCTTGGTCATAATTCTCAGTTGATCACAGTAGGAAATATTAAACAAACAAACTAGATTTATAAAACCCAAAATAAATTGTCTGAATCTAGTGAAACAGAGGCTGATTTGAAAAGGAATGCAATAATCAGTAACCGTGACGCCGGCTTCAGACAGGAGGCTCGTGCTCTGCAGCTGGTTGACCGGCACGGAGAAATGCGCCTCATGTGAGAACAGCCAGGCTATTGCTCCCACGAGAACTGACATATCGCAGTGGTTTTGCTTCCTGACTGAACCCGGGGTAATATGCAAATCACAAACCGCCACAGATGGAAAGATATCAAATATTGTCACTGGCTTCAGAGAATAATAATAAAAAAAGTGTATTCCCTAAAGGAACTGCTCAACATGGATGTCAAATCTTACCTTTTTGTTCACCTCAGTGAACTCAAAAGGAGTCTCAGGGTTGTTGTCAGGAGTATCTCTGTGCTAAAAACAGAAAACCACAGGGTTAAAGGACAGCTAACATTGTTCACACCAAAAGGTATAATTATCCTTAATCAACTTCAAATAACATTTATCAGCCAATTCAAATAAGTCCTTTTCAGAAGCCATCAATGTTAAGTTGCTATTATGGAGGATTTTTTACTCATCAGCTTCCACTTTCATGTGAGCAACAGTATCTACTAATATCTGACAAAATATAAAATATGAGTAAACCTATCATGTAAGCCCACAGGGGAAACAGGTGCTGCTATCAGACCATAGAAGACACTCAACACAGATAACAATTATTTCTGCTTCTGCACACACTGCCCCCTTGTGAGCAACAAACATCATTTGTCCAATTAAACAAACGAACAACTTTAAATTTAATGGTGTGAAAGATGTTTAAAAAAACAACATTTCTGGTCAGAGAGGAGTGGTTCAAAATCACAGATCAAAAACATCTTTACTGTCGAGGGACAGTGAAACCATGGCATGTTTCCATTACATGAGAATATCACCTGAGATGTTTTTGTTGCATAGGATGCCTCTAATAGGCTCTAAAGGCTGCTCCCAAGATAAATTAAGATCTCCTGGAAAACTAAAACCTTCGGGATTATTTCAGTAAAAGTGGAAGCACAAACACTGCTGGATTAAACAATGATCACATTAAGTTTTTATTGGCTAATTCATTTGGAAACAAATACAAATAGTAAGACCAGCTGTAAATAACAGGTACAGATTTGTTGGTACTTTGTAAACACTTGAGGACTCAGTCTCTCAAATGTGGAATAAAATGATTTTGATTTCCTCCTGTTGTTCTGTTTTCTTTACTCAGTTAAATACATTATACATACATTGTATTTAATTTATTTTTAAATTACATAATATATTGCAACAAAGTATATGACTATACCCAACACTGTAAGGCACAAAATTAAAGAAATAATGGACTGAGACTTTGACATAATACAAAGTACTGGTGAACATTATTGTGCACATGGTCTCTATTACAGCATGGCTGACTGCAGTTATATAAGGCCCTAGAGGTCAGTAATAAGGAATATTAACAGTGACACAAATCGAGACAATACTGCATAACTTTCTGAATGTTTTAAGCACCGAAAGAAAAATCTGATTGTCCATGTCCGTGGTCCTTCAGTGATTTCTGTTCTAATTGGTAGCTCAGTGAATTTATAGCTTTCTTTTTAAAAGGAGTCCCTGAGTTAAGAGATACAATAAGAAGAAGATATACTTTATTAATTCCCTAGGGGAAATTGTTCTTTTCACTCTTTTATACACACACACACACACACACACACACACACACAGGCTAAAATACACACTTCATGCACTTGTGGACATGCCAACAGGGAGAGAGATGGTGCAGTGATGGGTCTGCAACGTTAACAGCACCCCATGAGCAGGCTTGGGGTTAGGTTGCCTTGCTCAAGGGCACCTCGGCAGTGCACAGGAGGTGAAACTGGCACCTCTCCAGCTACCAGTCCACACTCCATATTTTGTGGTGTGTGGGACCCTCCGGTTCCCAAGTCCCTACACACTGAGCTACTGCCCCCCCAACACAGTAGCCCCATTAACTTTAGGACTATTTATCTCACAGATTCTGGGTGCAGCAACAACTGCACATCTCTTAACTACGGCAAAGAAACCGTAACTCACCACAAAGATGCCGCCAGCTCCGGTGCGTGCAACCGACCGATGCAGATTCCTGACCTGCCTGGCCTGAAAATACAGAAAGAAAAGACAGATAAAACAAATGGTAGTGTGTGAATTGATACTTGACCTTCCAAAGAGAGATGCCTTTGAGGGATGTGTCTTGTATTGTATTGTTTTATCTTAACGGACTCGTCAAGGGGAAAGGTTAAACAGAAAAACTGCCGATGTTATCAAAGTCTACCTCAAAGATAATAAGTCTTTAATTTTATGTAATTAGGAATAATTCTTATATGTGGAGACAGAACAATCAGCATCCTCTAAAATCTAAATCCCTGTCTGTTCTGGTCCAGGTATTTAACTATTTAACTGCCTGCTTGAATCATCACAACATTATTTACCCTCACAGAGCTTGAGCAGGTTTGTTTTAGTCTTTAAATGAAGAAATGATCCAAACAATCCCACAAAATATGTCAGTTTTCTTCTACATTTACACCCTTCAGGGGTAGAAATACAGGTTGTAGATTAGTAGTTATTAGACATATCTTTATATAACACTCATTACAAGAAATACTGGATAATAAAAACGTTATTTAAGGCTTTGTGACTGCTGGCTGTGAGTCAAACACCAATGCTTCATCGTGTTGTGCAACTACAACATAAAGTGGCTCTATTTAAATTCAAAGTGATAATAAATGCCATATTTAAAAGCACAACACACTAAAAGTTAATTCTAATATTTAATTTATTGGATTTCTTTATCCTTTACACGGTTTATTTAATGACATCACCTTGTAAACGTTTGACAGCGGAGAGCTAACACAGCTAGCACCGTTAGCTCAGCGGCCTCCGCTGTTTGCCCTTGTGACGAGTCACAGCAACTTCTACCCCCAAATTCATCGACGGGGGCATTTAGATTATGACCCAGAATCATACAGAACACCACAATCTTACCGTCTGCGACACTGCAGAGCGAACAGCGGCGGACAGAAACATGTTTGAGGGGCTTGAAGTTTGGTCCCGGTGCGTTAGCAAATGGACGGGACAGCAGCGGGCGACATCGACACAACACGCTCCGGCTCGATTAGCAGCGTCTGACGTGAGACGTTACGTCGGCAACGTAATCGATCCCAGATTGAAACTTGAGCGAGAACTTGATGCCGACAGCCATTTGGATATTTCCTCTGAGCTTTGTTACGTAACCTGAATGGTTGCGTGTTTACCAGCGTTTACTTGCGACACATATTACAAATCATAAAGGAGAAACTACTTCAGTGACACATTATGACACATGTATGAAATGTAATAATGATTTAAATAGGGTTTTTGTTTTTATGTGACACTTTCAAAAACAACAAGTGCTTGTCAGCAAAGCAAGGGTAAAAATCTAAATTGTGAGGGATAAAAACGATATGTTAATTAACATAAACAAATAGAAAGTTTAGAATTAGTATTGCAGTTAGCAGAATATAGATAAGTTGCAGTTTTCAAAGATTTAAGCATTAAATGTGTTAGTTTTTGTCTAGTTTTTGTTTTGAAATTGATTTTTTTTGTTATTTCTGTCAAGCTTTTTTTGTATTGGTGAAACAATCTGATAAAACCAAAATCTGACCCTCCCAAAAAAGGTAAAAAGATATTAAAATGTAAGACAAGTGCAAGGGTTACATGTGGCCTAAAGAGCATTTTATTATTGTAAGAGCATGCAGTGACAATGCCTTAAAGATCAAATATTTTGTTTACTTGGTATCAGTAAACTAAATCTCATTTCCTTTTCTCTCTCTCTCTCTCTCTCTCTCTCTCTCTCTCTCTCTCTCCCTCTCTCTCTCCCTCTCTTTCCGAGCAACCATCACCCTCCCTGCCAAATAAAACCTCCCACTGCCTGCCTGAATCCCAAGCATTCATCAGGCTGCACATCTCCTCCTCCTCCACCTACTTGCTTAGAAAAATAATGCCATGACAGGCCAGGGAGGGCTTGTCCAATGAAAAAGTGGGAGTGCTGCACCATGTAAGCCGATTGGCTGCCCTGGCCCTAAGCAGACTTGGAGAGAGCCTGCAGCTCAGGGATTAGAGGTGGGTCTTATGCATGCTGAATTGTGTTGCTTCAGTCCAGGAGGCCTTGTAGTGTTCTTACTTTACCCAGGAGGATCCAGACAGATCAGCAGTGACTCCAGATTAACCCATATTCTGACTCAGATGATATAGGCCCCGTCGACATCTGTCCTTCCACAATGGTTGTGCCTGAAAGCCAGGACAAAATGTACTACCCTCCTGATGACATGAAGAGGGATGCTCACGTGCCTGATTTTAACTCCTATCTGGCACTGTACAGGAAATCTCTTGAGAATCCAGAAGGTAGGTCAAACGACGTCTGTATTTTTAGTGCAGTGCTTGCAGTGTTTCCTTGCATTTCACCTCCCTCTGAGCCCGTCTGTATACAGTATCTCTCTGTGTTTATCTGCTCTGTCTGCAGCCTGTAACACTTGACACATGACTCTGTTTCAGCTTTCTGGAAAGAGACTGCTGATGAGTTCTTTTGGAAGAAGCCTGCAACAGGACCAATGATGCAGTACAACTTTGACGTGACAAAAGGGAACGTCTATGTCAAATGCATGGAAGGGGCCAAAACCAACATGTGCTATAATGTCCTGGACAGGCTGGTGAAGGAGAGGAATCTCGGTGAAAAAGTTGCCTATTACTGGTAAGCAACGTCGTCTGTCAGGAATGAATGATGGCTTTGATGGGAAATACCGCCTGGCGTTATGTCAGGTATTCCAGTCAGTAGCAACTGTTGTGCCCCCTGTGCTGACCCCTGTGCACGCAAAGCAAACCTCCGCTCGCACGACACAGTGTCAGTGCTTCAGTGTTTCAACTCAATCAACATTTAACATCATCTGTTGCAAAATCTTCCCAGAATTGATCAAATTTGTGCACAATATATAAAAAAGAGAGAGGTTTTTGGTGTTTTTATTACAGTACAAAAGCCTACTTCTGCTTAAATCTTGCCAGAATCTTCTAATAAGAGCCTAATGGTTTCTTTTCACAGGCTATATTTTCTCACTGAACTCTTTCAGAAGTTTCTGACTTCCACTAAACTCCTCAAATTACTTTTTAACTTTCAGTTACTGTTTACAGTAAAGCCCCATTCCCTCCACAAGTCACCATAAAGGCTCTACTTAATGTTGTTTTCACTTTGCATTATGGCACGTATTTGCTCTGTCATCGACGAAGCACAGCAAACAAGAAATAAGGGTATAAGCTCAGCAGTAATAAGGGTTCAATGGAACTGGGCACAGTGGTGACCAGCCATCATCAACACAAGTGTCTTAACATTGTTTGCATTACATCAAAGTACTTGTGTAATATATCTGTGTTTGCCACGCCAGTTCCAGCACACCATGTGACGAGGATCTAGTCTGCCAGCTGTGTTATTACCAGGTTTATATTCAAGTTATCGGTACTCAGATGCTTTGTTATGACCTGCCAAGATTATATGACTTTCGCTCACGCCTTGTCCAAACAGCATTTCAAATAGTAGGACACGTTATACAATATGCAAAGAGTATTTAAAAGTCAGGCAGTTAGATACCAGGTATGACTAAAGCACAGTGTTTAAGGAATTAAATTAAATTATCAAATCAAACCAATAAGAGGCATTAAAAGTAATCCCTTCCATAATGTCTCTCTAGACAACTTTGATTTGAGAGAGAGAAACGTGCTTTTGGTTTGAGATTGTCTCAATTCTCTGTGATGACAGGTGTCCCGTGGCTAAAGTGTCACTCTTTGAACAAAAACTGTTTTTATCTTTCCTAAAGCCTTTAGAAGAAGAAGAATATATACTTTAATAATCCCCACTGGGGAAATTCTTTCAAGTAAGAAATGTCAGAAATGGTTGTAGCTTCATGCTCAGTAACATATTCTGTGTAATAAAGAGATAAACATCCTCCATCAAAATATTGAATATTCAGGAACAATCTGAGTCTTAAGAGTCCATTTATCATTTAGCTCCATTATCCCTTTTAAATTGTTAAAGGTATTAGCAACAGTCCATATGCATTCACTACTATAACTGTTGTTATTGTAACTGTTAACTGTTTACTGTTAAGTTGCAGACAAAACAAGATATCTCAGTGTTACGTTTGTCTTAGTGTCATTTTCTATATTTCCCTTTTAAAGAAAAGGAAACTGTTTGTATGGACCCATGAATGTATACAGAGGGCGAGTGCATTATGTAAGACACTGAGACTAAAACAGTAGAGTAAATGACTTAAAAGACTATAAACGCAGACTAAAAGAAAAACAAAGTGAGGAAAATGAGAAAAGCACAATAAATAAAATAAGATTTCTGGTGCATGTACAAAACCTGCACAAAGTCCAAAGGCAATGTTGAACATTCAATACATTCCCAGCTTTGATCTAGAAATATTAAGTGCAGTCTGAGATAGTCTGGAATTCGTTCAAGATATCTGAAGCACAGCAGCTAAAAGCAGCTTCACCGTGTTTGGATTTCATGGCAGACGACCTCAGTGGACTGATGGGTTGAGACTGTAGCAGAAGCATTTTGCTCATAAATCATTTGGTGAGTTGTATTAGTTTGAATGTATTTGACAGACGGTGCAGAGATTTGACAAATGGAGTAATTTGCTCAACTTTCTTGTTCTATAGATTTTAAGCCGCAGCATTCTGAATGAGTGGCAGCTGTCAAAGAGCTTTTTTAGAAAGACCTGAGAAAATCCTATTACAGCAGTCCAGCCTACCAGAGATAAAGACGTGGATTACTTTTTCCTACATTTTGTTTGTACCTGAATTCCCTGATTCATGCAGGTGGTTATAGGCTACTTCGCTGTACATTTCTCACTTTTTCAGGTTTTCAGCTGCAGACAAAAACGATTTTTCAATCACTGTTATACCAAAAATAAAATCTAGCTTCTTCCTTTATTTAAATAAACATCCATTCCTTTCTTTGCTGAATCCACATTCTGAGCTGACAGAAGCATTCAGCAGTTGAATTAAAGAGCTCCCAGGATTTAGCCCTGTGGAACTCCACATTTGATTGGGTTTACTATTATCCAATAGACGCAATTTATGGGTAAAAGACAATCAAATACGTGGGCTTTTTCACACGCTGAGATGGTCCGACATTATCCAGAATAGTTTTTTAGCACTATTATCATATCGTGAATGTACTTCAGGTCACTTTATCAATAGTGGTTGCAGTTAAGAGTTTGCTGAGTTTTATCAGTATAATCATTTATTTCACTATCATCAGCCTGACGATAAGGTTTAATGGTTGTTGCAGTGTTTTGGCTTCTGTCCTGTACCAAAGGCCTGCTACCATGCTGTGTGCTGAAACATAGTCTTCTAAATAACCGTCCTGACAAACATCCAAACCCAATATAGACCCAGCAACAACTGGAACAGGTTATCTCCCCTGTGAACTCACAGAACTCACAGGGACTCAAATAGTGTATCTGAAGGGTTTCTACGTCCTTAATGAAAGTATGTTTTTTTTTTTTTAAAGCCAAACCCCTGCTTAACTCTATGTAACCAACACAAACACACAGAGCTTCATACAATCTGAGCTTTACAGTAGCTGATTTGAGTTGTGTTTTTCCTCTTGTATGTCGTCTTCTCAGGGAGGGGAACTCACCTGACCACCACACGGTCATCACCTACCGCCAGCTGCTGAGCCAAGTCTGCCGCTGTGCTAATGTCCTCAAGAAAATGGGTGAGAAATTGAAATCTAACATCTTAACAATATTAATTGAGTAGCAGCTAAAAATAGAGATGACTTATTCCTTAGAAATTACCTGTAGCAACAGTTTGAGTAAAACAAGAACAAAGCGAACACATGCCAAAATCATGGATTCATGAGGGGCAAAGGACATAATGTTGAACCATCAAAAGCTTAAAACTCCATTATCACAGCAGTTTTATTTCAATGTCAGCGGTAGTCTATACCTCAAGTATACAAGTTTATAGGTACAAAACTATGATCTAAAATCATTGTGAAATTACAGGGACAAATATTGGCATTGTCATTTGGCCCATAACCAGCATGCCAACTCACCAGATGTGGCTCTATGCCCAGTTTGAGAGTGGGAAAAAAGTGCTGCACACTCTGGCTCCATATGCATTTCTCTTTTATTTAGTTGATGATGTTTTTGTCCTCCGGCTTTCTTCAAGATCAACAATTGATCAGTGAAGTTGTTGCACATCAGACATGCAGTACAGCATCTGTGCTATAGCCAGCATGCTGAAACTCTTCCTAAAGCTACAATGCTGATGTTGGTTTGAGTTGTCAAACAGATGAAAACTTAAAGTCTGGTTGTTTCCGTGTTCTAGGTGTAAAGAAGGGAGACAGGGTGTCTATCTACCTTCCCATGATCCCAGAGCTGGTCTACATTATGTTGGCCTGTGCAAGGATAGGAGCTGTTCACTCCATTGTGGTAAGCAGATAATGTTTGTTTTGCACCATTTTGCAGAAGCAGATGAGTGGGAGTTTGCTGCATGTACCATAATTTAATGTCAGCATGTTAATTAAATCATACAAGATTTGATTTCTTAACTTTCTGACACTTGTTGTCATCTGTGAGAATTCTTGCAGATAGTTCAGGTTAGGTAGTGTTTACTGCTTTGGCCCCAATTCAAGGAGAAAACATCAGCTGAACCTGAGCTCTTGCTTCTGTTAGTCCAAACTGCTCTGCTCCTGTAGTTATCAGCTGTTCTCTGTGTGAACACGGCATTGGCAGCACCTGCACTCAATATATGGGTCAGACTTTTACTGGCTGTATCCAGCTTGGGAAGGCTTCAGAGTCAGTGCAGTTTGGCAAGCGAGCCAACACTATTTTCGCTTTTCAACCTTCCCCATCTGTGCGAAGGTTAGTATCCCTGTTAAAAATAACTCCAGGCTGCTCCAAGGTGGGTTTCTTTTATGACTTGCGAGGCCTATTTTTGGCAGACTTAAGAGTGAGTGACCTTGTCTGTGCATGGTCACTGTTGTAAATGTTCCAACTCTGAGATTTTATCATATTTTGAACATTACTTAGCAACAGTAGGATCTCGGGTAGAGCGACAGCCTCTTGGATTCTCATGTGACTGTTAATATTAATCATAAATTAGCTTGGCATGAAAATTAAATCATAGATGGAGCCAGGCAGGACAGCCAATGCCACTCATGCAGTGACATTTTGCTGAGTCCAGATTCGTCAGTGACCTGATTCATAATGCTGTCATCAACACTGAAACGTTATACTCTGTGAACTATTAACCTTCGCCAGGAGACAAGCGTCTGGCAAGGGGACACAGCAAATGACAATCATATAAAAGATTCATTATAAATGTCTGGTTCATTATGTAGCATTGAACAAGGTGACTTTTCTATACTTGGTGATGAGAAGGAACAGCATGCATCAGACCGTCTGTTTGCACTTTAAAGCGAAACTATGTAAACTTTGGCTGAACTGCAGCCATTGTGGCCACAAGCTACAATTAAGGAATAATGATTAAAGCTAAAACACAGTGTGACAGTAGCACAAGTAGAGAAGAGTAATAAAGTCAGTGAACTGAGTTAGTAATGTAAGTAACACAGCGATATCTACCAGAGCAAGTAGCACGAAAACCACGGAGTGTATTGGACTGAGCAAGGCTGCGATTTATTGTTTATGAAGTCAACTTTTCATTTGTGAGATGAAAAATGTGTCACTTCTTACAAGAGTTATGTAGTCTGGCTTTAAAGTCATATCTGAGACACTACAGCTTGATTTGGGATTTGGGATTTGGGATTTTGGAGGACGTGTACGTACTTTTACTCTATACTGGTGTTTAGACCGCATTTATTGGGTTTGCATATTTTTGGTCCGTGGTCTGTTGTTAACACAATATAACTGGTTCTAGTACAATTCCAGTTTATAAAACTTGGGGTTCTTTTTTTGTAGCATCATTCCTGCTGCTAATAATACAACAGTGCACTGACAAGGTTGTTTGCAGAGATGACGTTGCTAAAATTGAGTCTGACATGAAAAATGAGCTGTCGAAGGATCAAAGAGGTTTTTTTTAGAAAACTTGTTTGCTTCATTTTTGAGAAAATAAATTGGTTAATCGATCAAATATATCAAAACATTTCTACTGTTGTTTCGTGCCTGCAGGTTTCTTGTGTAATCAGGGAGTATTACCAACAATCTGGTTGCACTCACTTTTACCTCCACATAAAGAGGTTCAGCTAATTTGGCTGAACTATTTATAACCCATCATAATTCTTGGCCTGTTGGGTTTTGCTCTGTGTCGCCCATCTTGCTGTGTTCCCAGATTTCAGCTTAACTAAGTTACAAGTTATAATAAACTATATTTACCCTTTAAAGGTCATAAGAGCTACAACATCTCTCTCATTCAGCTTCTCCTCCACTTTGTGTCTTGTCTTTCTCATGTTCAGTTTGCAGGTTTCTCCTCTGAGTCCCTGTGTGAGAGGATTATGGACGCCCAGAGCAACGTTTTGGTGACAGCAGGTAGGCCGCAGCAGCACCAGGGGGTGATGTGTTCTGGTGTTCAGGGGCTGTAAAGACGGTTTTCAAGTTGTAAAGTGACTCAGAGCTTAAATACCTTCTGGTTTATACACTTCATCATCTGTCTCTCTGTCTTCCCATCCCTCACTCTCTCTCTCTCTCCCTCCCTCCATCCTCTTTGTAACATACAGATGGTGTTTATAGAGGAGAGAAGCTGATCAACCTGAAACAGATTGCAGACGAGGCTCTGGAGAAGTGCAGGGAAAAGTAAGTTCTGCTGACAAGGCCGACAGTTTCTTGGTTCTCAGCAACCGCCTTTATTTACACTGGCTGCTGGTAATGGGACTCAACCCTTGACATATGCGTTACTGGACACACACACACACACACACACACACACAGCAAAGCACTGTCAGCTGTTATCAGGGATGTTGAGGATACACACTCGCCTGGTTTCCACATTACAGGGTTGCCGGGCAACATGGGGCGCTCAGATTCATCAGGGAAGCCCAAGCTGCTCGTCCCCCGTGGCAACACGAAACACAGTGTGCTGGGAACGATTATCTTGGGGGGTGCAGATGCATTCAGGGGTATCATTTCAAAATAATATGTATAGGGATATTATATACGCCTCATGTGGCAAAGCAAAAACTAGAATTCTTTGACTCAAAATCTCCCATATCCCACACAAAACAGAAGGTTTGCAGCAATTTAACCCAAAACCATTTTTAAACCATAACTCTTAACATGATATTATATTATGTACTTATTATAATATCATTATTTTTCTCTATATTGCACTTCTGCTACATCTGTCCGTTTTATGAGGGATTTTTCAAGGATCAGAAGATAGAAAGTGTTGTATAACATTGACAAGTGCAGTTAAAAAATATGAAGAAAATATGAGATGGGACACAGAAAGTGTCATATGGCACTTATACTGGATCTCACACCTATTTTTTCATTTCCTCACAGAGCGTCATCGAGTGTGACTAAATGCCTCGTCATCAAGCACCACGCACTGAGGACAAAAAGCGGAGCTGCGTGCAATAAACTACAGGTATGATATGTTTTCAAAGTTAACATTTTAGTTTATGGCTATGTTCTTCAAGATAAATTATGACAAAATGTGTGACAGTATCTGGGACAAGTATTGTAGCCTGAGATAAAGATGTAAAAACTCCCTACAGAGTGACACAATGCACAGATACAGAGCTCTAATCCTCAGCTCGAGTGTCACTTTATGGGAAGATAAAATGTCTCTAAATGTCCAAATTTAGTGATTTTTACTTTAAGTCTTCTCTGGGCTTTTTTTTTTTTCTTAGCTCATGAAAAGGATTTTTTAGATAATTTGGTTTCACATAAGAGCAAGGAAAATAGAATATACACACAAAAAAAGATATATAAAATAAATCTTTGTTTAAATGTATCATTCTTTAATGTGTGTAGAAATCTATTTATTAAAGAGAATCAGTAGCTGCTGCAATACTAGAGGTAAGAAGTCAGATTTGGCACTTTTTTTAGGGCTGCTACCGTACATTGATTCATGTTATACACTTTAATAATCACTGCCATACCTTGTATCTCTAACTATGAGAAGATAGGGCCCATCATTACCATCACTGTTGGCTGTATAAATAGTTTGACAAAACTATTTCTCGAATATGAGGCAATGTTAGAGCCTCTCAGGGCCCCACACTGAAAGGTGCACATGGTCCAAGTCCACTCCTGCGGTCGGACGGACAGAAATAGTTAGTCTCCAAAGAAAAGACTCCAAAAGTGGCACTGCGCTGACACAAATGGCAAAGACTTCAAGTGAACTTTAAAGCAATTGTGTCATTAAAAAAAAGCCCCATGGTTCTGTGCTACAGCACTTTCCACAGAGGATCGTATGATTTTTCACTCCAGGCTAAACGACAATAGAATATCAGCAACAGACATGTTCTCTTCCAATTTAGGATTCAGAATATGTCTCCAAGGGCCGCAGTAACATTGACATGGTGTTGTGGTCCACAATGCGAGTAGCTGTAATGAGGGTTTTTTTATGTGTTTCATTTGTTCCCCCTTGTTCTGGTGTGTTCAGATCCCCTGGGACTCAGAGTGCGATGTGTGGTGGGACGAGGCGATGACAGACTCTCCTGAAGAGTGTGAACCTGAGTGGCTGGACGCTGAGGATCCTCTGTTTATCCTCTACACCAGTGGCTCCACCGGCAAACCCAAGGTAAGACACACAGAAACCAGTTTTATTAGCAGAAACATACAGAGTAGGAGAGGAAATTTTAATTTTCTCTGTGAAACGGCATCTTTTAAGTCCTGATAAGCCTGTAAAGGTATAGTGTGTTTGGTTTTTACGTAATCTGCTATCTCTGTCGTGAAATAATGACACCTTAAAGTTAAAAGAGCCACAATTTTCAGTTTCTTTTACAATGAACAAAATCCACATCCATGTTTTTGTTACCTTAGAATATCTACAGACGCCACGGGTTGACTTCCATGGAGTCCCCCATGTTAAACTGCCATAATTCAAAAGTAGCCTGTAACCAACAAACCAAACACTGGCTCTAGATATGGGTGTTCGCCACCATAGTTTCTCCTTCACGCTTGAATAGTGAGGGTGAAGTGACATAGTTGAGATCTGCAACTACACTCCTAGATGCCACTATAATCATTTGCTCCAACATTGTTTTTTTTGTTTTGTTTATGTGGGGGGGTTGTAATTAAAAATTAAAAAGAACATAAATTCTTCTATCTGAATTCCCTCCATCTTTTAGCACTAGTGGAAATTTGTTGCGTTCGACACATGAAACACCAATCACTCCTCGACAGCACACAAAATACATAGAGTTGTATTTTGTGTGCAGTATATGTTATTATTACTCAAAACACAGGGTTCAAAGCGTCAGACGGCATGAAATCATCTCTGTCTTCGTCTCACACACACACACACACACACACACACACACACACACACACACACACACACACACACACACACACACACACCCGCCTGCATACATGTCTCCTCTGTCAGCATCGGGAGGCCCCATCCCTTATTTTTGCCTGTCTGCTGTCTTTGTGTTCACCAATTATCTCCTCATTCATGCTTCTGTCCTCGTGTACGGTACAGGGTGTTCTCCACACCGTTGCCGGGTATCTGCTCTACACGTCGCTCACCTTCAAGTACGTTTTTGATCATCACCATGACGACGTCTACTGGTGCACCGCAGACATCGGCTGGATCACCGGCCACTCCTACATCACCTACGGCCCCCTTGCAAATGGCGCCACAAGTGTCCTGGTGAGTCTGAAAGAGACTTTTTCATTAACAATCAGTATAGTGCCATTAGAAGACAGATTTTAGCACCTAACAGGAGCCCGATAGTGTTTTCCTTCATAGAGGTGTGTGTGTGTTTATATGTTTCCTCCAGTTTGAAGGTATTCCAGTCCACCCTCACGTCGGCCGCTTCTGGGAGATTATTGAGAAGTACAAAGTGACCAAGTTCTACACAGCTCCTACAGCCATCCGCCTGCTGATGAAGTACGGACGGGAACCGCTGCAGAAGTAAGAGCCTGCGTCCTCACAGCAGAAACGTATTCTTCAGAAGCTGCAGCAGTGACCTGATAGTTGGCCCGAGTGTATTTTTACAACACGGTTTCCCCTCTTTCATATGGAAATTTCCACCTTTAATTTTAAAAGACCGCCTTCTCAGTTCTCATTTCTTACATAACAGACTCCTCAGTGGTGAGGTGAAGAAAAAACAAACTGTATTAATAATGACGGGAGCGATACTGTGTGAATTGTGTCACTAAAAGCCAGGAAAACTCAATTTCTTACTCTGTCAACACTCACTCCCAATGTAAGAAGCAGAAACCATCTGAACCTCATCTTGACAGTGAGTCAGCACACATCCATCCATCCATTATCGTCCACTTATCTGGTGTCGGGTCGCGGTGGCAGCAGGTCAATCTGGGCACTCTAGACGTCTCTCTCCCCAGAAACACCCTCGAGCTCCTCTTGGGGGATCCTGAGGAGCTCCCAAGCTAGTTATAATCCCTCCAGCAAGTTCTAGGTCTACCCCGGAGTCTCCTCTCAGTTGGACGTGCACATAAAACCTCCAAAGGAAGATGCCCGAACCACCAGATGTCTGAGCTCTCTATCTCACAATGCACCTGTAAAACCACAGCTTGTTGTTTTTCCACATCAGTTTTTGTGCAGATTAAACAAATGAGATATAAGATGGTGTAATTTGTGAGCTTTAGAGGTGCTGAGCTAATCAAAAGCTTAAGGACGCAAATAACTATTAGCCAAAATATCTGAACTATTGCTTTAAGAAAAGAAAAGTGTAACTCATGGAATATATTAAGCATCATCAATGCATATTTAACATTATTCAATCAGTCAATTCAGATCAGTCTCATTGAGATCCAGATCTATTGTTCGCCAAAAACTTGAGAACAAGAAACATTCATCAGACAACGCCACAACCTGCATACAAAAAAAACCACATATACCGTATAAAAGAACCAACAATTCACACAACAAATAGAGACACAGAGGCATAAAAAAACGGCTACAGCAGTGATCAGCACCATGTAATGATAAAGATATCTGAGGGACATTTTCTCACTTGTCTCTGCCAGGTATGACCTCTCCAGCCTGAGGATTCTGGGTACTGTTGGTGAGCCGATCAACCCGGAGGCGTGGCAGTGGTACCACGAGGCCGTCGGTCAGGGCAGATGTCCCGTGGTCGACACTTTTTGGCAGACAGAGACCGTAAGTGCGGGCAATTAACACACATCTCAGCTGGTATTAGGTTATATTTTAGGATCCTGTGTGGAAGGTTTGAATAAGTTTCACTTCTTACATTATCCAAAATGTTTCCAACAAAGCCAAACCCAGAGAAATCTGTTTTTCTAGTCAGGTAATGGGGTCAATGGCGTCATATCCCCTTTGCACATGCATCAGCAATGTGGTTGTTTGCCAGATAAAGTCATAAATTGACTTTATATCCAGTTTGAAGCCACATTTTTACCATTCACTTTTCAGATCTTGGTCGTTTTTATCTGTATATTTTAGCTGGATGAAGGTTTTTAGTCATCGGACATCTGGATCTTAAGTTATTGGAGAAACAAGCTGAGCTAGCGGTAGCAGCAGCTTGGCTCGCAGCCCCTCAGGGACGTCCTTTGTCTACCAAATAAAGTCAGAGAAACACAGATTTTTAAGGTGAAACTGCTTAATTCAGTGATTGATCAAAGTAGTAATTTCTCCCAGTAAAAATAGAAAATAATAACAGAAATAATAACATTTAGACAAACAAACTAAATTCATAAAGTTCAATACAAGACAAATACATAATAAACCCTATAGGATGACTTTCATATGCCTTTAAACATCATATTTCTCTACAGGGAGGTCATGTTTTGACTCCGCTGCCTGCTGCCACGCCACTGAAACCAGGCTCTGCTGTAAGTGACAACATATCCTACTGACATTGTTATGTAAATCTTAAACACACACGTATATATCTCCTCCAGTGAGTTTCATCAATACAGATCATGCTGGTGAGGAAATGTTGGACCTCAGTAATTTAAACTTAACCAATGCAGGAGTTCTTTTTCATTTTTTCTTTGTGCAGATTACGATCCAGTCTTAAGGTGTTAAAGAAACGTTGTAGCTGTACAGGAGCTGTTTAATGAAAGAATGCCGTTATCTCACATTCAATCCACACCTCATATTTCAGACCTTTCCTTTCTTCGGGGTAGAGCCCACAATCCTCAACGAACACGGCGAGGAACTGGAAGGCGAGGCTGAGGGTTATCTGGTGAGTTTCAATTCAATTCTGTATGACTTTATTCATCCCCGTAGGCGCAATTGTTTGCAGCAGCTCGCCACCCTGACCTACAGATACAAGCACAGTGAAGAAAGAAAAATAATCTGAAAACCAATCCAAGGCTATAAGCTTTATGGAGAACTAAATTCTAGGTTTTAATATTTATTGGTTAGTCAACCATTAGTTTCTTTTGCCGGAATATAGCTGAGCTTCTTTTCTATTTTATTCTTGTTTCTCCTACTCGCTGGCATTAGACTTTCATTAGTGGATTTTCAGTTTTTACCTTAAAATTAATTGTTTTATATTCAGTCTAAAACTGGATGTGTGTAACATTTAGAAGGATTTATTGTCAGAAATGGAATATAATACTCATAGGTATGTTTTCATTGGTGTATAATCCCCTGAAAATGAGAATCGTTGTGTTTTCGTTACTTTAAAATGAGCCGTTTTTATCTACAATTATCTACGGAGGCAACCATGTTGAACCGCCATGTTTTCTACAGTAGCCCAGAACGGACAAACCAAACACTGGCTGTAGATAGGGCCTTTTGTGTTTTTTTTTGCATAGTTTCTCTTACTATACCGCTAGATGCCACTAAAGAGGACACTAAATCCTACAAACTAATTATAGATGGGATTTTACTACTTATTTCACTCTTGAATGTTATTTTGTTGAAGTGTCTCTATCTGAATTTACCTGATTAGATTTAATTATAGCTCTAAATTGTTCAAAATCATAATACAATCAAAAGTAAAGCTTTGAACTTGAAAGTTGCTGTATAAATAAAGTTTATCATTACATTTATTAATGGCAGTTATTTTGTATGTGCAGGTATTCAGGAGGCCCTGGCCTGGAATAATGCGCACTGTGTACAGAAACCATGAACGCTTCGAGAACACCTACTTCAAGAAATTCCCTGGTTTCTATGTAACCGGTGATGGTAAGTCACAAAAAAAATTATATTGCATCTACTGTCTTAGCAATAAGAATCACAAAAATCACCTTTCTGCCAACGATTGTACATCACTCTGGATTAAGCAAAAGAATAAACACCAGAAATACACCAATAAATTTCTCCCTGAAACATCAAAAAAGAGATGCTGTAAAAACTCTTTTGGTAGTCATGCAACTTGTTTTCTCCTCCATAAGGCTGCAGACGGGATAAAGACGGCTATTACTGGATCACAGGACGGATAGACGACATGCTGAATGTGTCAGGTACTGTACTGCGAGGTGTTACTGTCTGATAGCACAGCTGCTTCTTCAAAACAGAGTTAATATTCTGTCTTTTAGGCCACCTGATGAGCACAGCGGAGGTGGAGGCGGCTCTGACGGAGCACCCGGCCGTGGCGGAGGCCGCGGTGGTGAGTCGGCCTCACAAGGTGAAGGGCGAGTGCCTCTACTGCTTCGTCACCCTCAAAAACAGCAGAGAGTTTAACCACACGTTGGTGGAGGAGCTCAAGAGACTGGGTGAGGCTCTCACACAGGGGGTTTAGATTAACGTTAATGTCACACTGTTATTAGATAATTGGTCCTTTATGCCAAAAACATTAGTTGATTATGCAATTGATTATGAAAAAAAATGATTAAAAACATCTGGCATGCCCATACTAACACCCTGAATGAAAGCAATCAGGTTTTGGCTTTTTAGTTGAATGTAAATGTAAAATGTAAAAAATAGAAGGCAAAAGACGTTAATATCAGTCCAAACAAGCTTTATTCAGATTTCTTCTCCGTATCCTTTTTCTCAGTGAGAGAGAAAATTGGACCAATCGCCACGCCAGACTTCATTCAAAATGCTCCAGCGCTCCCGAAAACTCGCTCAGGTAACAGGTCCTCCTGTTTATGCCTCCTGTAAACCAACATCCTCCTGCTCTACTCGCCTACTCAGTAACATCTGTCTCCTCTGATCCATTCAGGGAAGATCATGAGGCGAATCCTCCGGCAGATCGCCCGCAATGAGAAGGACCTGGGTGACCTTTCGACCCTGGCCGACCCGAAGGTGGTGGAGGTGCTCTTTAGCCAGAGATGTGAAGCTGCAGCCTGAACTGACACCTCAGCCTCTCTTTATGCTATGTAACGGCACAGATGAAGACGATCACAAACTGCTGGTTCTGGATCAACGTCTGAGTGTTTGTGTGCACTCTCTGGGACTGACTGAAGGGGGCTGGGATCAGAAAATTATACCGCTGACATCGAGATGTTTAAAATTATTGTTTTATGTGAAGAAAATAAGTCAAATCAAATGTCACCGGTGCTGTTATGTAGATGTTCTGTCGGGGCTGTTGTTTGTCGTTTGGGCCATAATGTCAAACAGAATTATTATCTTTTATATTTTCTTAAAAGTCTTGTAGTTCCATGTTTCATGTTGTAAATCTTAAAATATAAAAGCTCTGCACAGCTTGTTTTTGACTGACAACCCATGTATATTTTATCTGTGATACACTTCTATAACCTGAGAATTTAATCTGTGTGGTGCCTTTGTCCTTTTACCTCCAAGCTCAGCGGCTGATTGACGCCCTCATGTGGCAGGAATCGTCCTCTGCAGCTGCTATCTGATGGTTTCACTGTAGAAGCCTTTTTACTCCCCTGCCAAGGCTTTCTGCCTTTTGTCTTCTAATGATGCACGGAGCGTGCACACTCACACACACGGCTTTGATGATGTGAAGTGCAGCAGGGAGAAGCGATTACGAGGGGGACAGAAAGATAGAGAGAGGAAGAGAGAGCTGTTTTATCTGAAGTGCGCTGGATTCTTTTGAAATTATAAGCATCAGTGGTCTTGAAAGAATAGAAAAACAAGAAGAATAATCCTTTTTTAAATAGAGATTAGAGTGCAGCAGGTTGTTATGAAAGTATCTCAGAGGGACTGCTCTCTTATCTCATTGTCAATGTTGGGTAATGTACAATCATTGGACTTCCTTTGTTGTCTCCTCTACACACACTTCATGTCACATACATGCACTGTGTGTGTAGGTGGGGAGGACAAGAAGAAAAGAGCCCAGAAACACAGCAATGGGCAACGTTACATCATCACCCCCAGCAGCAGAGGAGTGGTTACCATGACAACCTCTTCAGCCCCCCTCCTCCTCCTCCTCCCCACAAACCACCACTTCTTCTTCAACCCCCCCCCCCAACCCTCCTTCTTCCTCTGGCCACAACAGCAGTCTGCAGATGTTTAGTAACCTGACGACCACACGAGGGATTGACTCACCTCTTGGTCCACACACACACACACACACACACACACACACACACACACACACACACACAAACATGTAAAGGAAGGTTTACAGATTTTCTGCATCACTTGACCTTCTTGATGTCATTGAAACCAACAGTTTGGCAAATATATTTAAAATAAAAGGAATCATGCAATATGTAATTCTGCTTCTGCTGTGTTGTTTCAACGTTATGGTAATTTAATAGGGTTGAATTTCATGATGCTGTTGAGTTGTCGTACAGAAGGATGGATTGTGTTTTTTTCATCTTTTAATTATTAATAGGTCATATTTCAACCTCCACTCCACTCAGGTGAGTCCTGAACCATCCCTTAGTTATGCTGCTATAGGCCTAGACCAGGGGTGCCCACACTTTTTTGGCTTGCGAGCTACTTTCAAAATGACCAGGTCAAACTGATCTACCTGCATTAAAAAATGCTAAACATATTGTAAGATTGCTCCAGTGGTGAAGGCAGGAAGGAAGGGACTGAAACTGTTCAGTTAGTCCAAATTTCTTTATTTTCCTTTTTTTCCAAGCAGTGGATCAGTGCAGCTTATTTACAGTGAGGGTCAGCTTGGCCCAAATTGAAGATAACAACAAACTGAATAAAAATTAAAACAAATGGAAACAACTTAGGAAAAAGGTAACTAGAGGTATCAAAAATAACCTTAACTCTGCTCAGGGCTATACCCCTTTTAAGCTTGGGCCCCTGGCAGCTAACAAACCGTGTGGCCTGCTCACCAACATCCTCAAAAGTAGTCTCCCCTTGGAGAACCCTCAACTCCTGCTTATATGTGCTGTAGCTCCTCCTACCACAGGACGCAACAATTAAGAAAACAATTAACCTTTAGCATTAATTTATCTAATACCCAATAGTTAAGTTTTATAGGTCAACAGTAGAAAGAACTCACTACAAATATCAAAAGAGTAAAACAGATCCCAACTGTTCAAAATAACAAATCTCCCACACGCCACACATGCTTCGGTGGCGGTCTTCGCTTTTGTGGTAAGCTGTGAGAAAAAGGCCTGCTGTTTGGACAACTGGGATTTTAGTTCTTTCGCCTTTCTCCTTCTAAAGTTCGCTTTTTGGCGGGAAGTCAGTGTCGTAGCTTTTATAAACAGTCACAATTCCACATTTCCATATTCCGCGCCACATTTCCCTTCTTCGGAATAGCAATGGTAGACTTGCAGATGAGGCAAACCCACTTCGAATAGGACATTGTGAAAAAAAAGTCCTCCTCCCAGTCCATATGGAAGTGGTAGGATTTTGGCTTTTTACTTGGTCCAGCTCCCCCACTTATTTTTATACCCTTTCTTAAGTTTAGTAGAAATACGTTAGGCTAACTGAGCAACTCACGAGCTTGCTGGAATTTTGAAGTAACTGTCGCTGTTGAACGCGCATGCGCGCTGACCGGTGTGTCAGAAAAGATCAGACGTTAGAGTGGTTGTCCTGTACGTCAATCAAGTGACAAATGTTATAGTGAGGATGGATGATAGGCTGACGTCTTTTAATGCCATGCGATCTACCCACACTACCTTTGCGATTGACCGGTAGATCGTGATCGACGTAATGGGCACCCCTGGCCTAGAGGATCATATTGGCTTGCCAGAACTTTGTATATATTCCTCATTGTAGGCTGATAGTAGATGACTGATCGGCTCTTGTAACTCAGCATGTCTGTGAAGCAGTTCCATTGCAGGCCTAGTGTCAGCTCTTTAGGGTCTCCATTGTCTGAGAGCCACAGTTCAATTGTTTTGGACGGTGTATCACAGCTGGATCATTACTAGCCCATTGTCGGATGTCAAACCCAACATCATCAAGCAGAGGTCTCATTTTGTCAATAAGGGTTTTAGCTTCATGAGAGGAAGGGAACCTTTGGAGACAGTTATCAACATAGAAACAACGTTGAACAGATTGGAGGACCTCTTCATTTCCATCACAGTGATCTTAGACATGTTTGTGAACTGTGTAGGTGGCACAGCATGGGCTACAGGTTGTTCCAAATGGCAAGACTTGCCATTCATAAACACTGGGCTCTTGGTCTATCTGCATCCGTCTCCATATAAAGAGTAGTAGTGGTTTGTCCTCAATCAAAAGGCGTACCTGATGGAACATACCTTTGATATCTCCACAGATGGCAATGGGATGTTGGCGGAATCTGAGTACAACTCCAAGGAGCGAGGGACCAAGGGTTGGGCCAGGCAGAAGACATTTGTTTAAGTTTTGTCCCATGTATTCAAAGGATCAGTCAAATACAACCCTGTATTTGTTGTTATGTTCGACAATGTGATGAGGGAAATACCAGGTCCCCTGTGGCTGGTCTACCTGCTCACTGGGAATCCTTTGAACGTAGCCAGACTGCACAAGTTTATTCAGTTCCTCCTGGTATGTATCAGACATTTTAGGATCTTTGGACAGACGTCTTTCTGTAGCACAGAGACGGGGCAGGACAGCTGACTTTGAAGCTTGAAGAACAGGAATGTCAGGAACTCTTAGAAGTGGCATGGCATGGCACATTACACCATCTATTTCTACTCTGTCTTAGAATGGAGTATATCAAGAGCTAGTTTGTCTTGTTTTGACCTTGTGGCTGTCTTTTCATTCAAATAGGGCAAAGTGTCAATCAGTCTTTCCACATTTCTAAGCAATTCACCTTTGAAGCAGGTAAGAGGGAAGGAAAGAGTGTGCTGGGTTGGGATTAAGCAAGCTGGCCCTTGGAGAGCCCGTCCTAACCTGATATGTGCATGAGTATCGACTCTGTAGCTGTCATTAGATGGGCATAGTCTGAGCCAATGAGGACATGAGGGCATGCATGATCAATAAACTGTAATGGAATACCTCTGAGATGGTGATACTGCTGTTGTAGTTGCTTCACAGGGTATGTGTACTCCGACAGTCCAAGATTCTCCGCAGTGAATGCTCCACTGATACTATATCTTTCAGTTGGCTTGAACGTGATACAGTGCAAAAACAACTTCAGTAAGTCACTGTATGTAACCAAAAAGTAGTGAGTGTAATTTCAAACTCCTTATGTAAACATTGGCAAGTAAACAAATAAGTGTACTTTCCAAAATATCAACTTATCTTACAACTTGTAAACATCAACCTCAGTAACATAAGAATGTAAATAAGAAAGTTTATTTATTATTATTATTTAGTCCAGTCCAGTCACTTAGGCAACTGCTTCATGGTACCTTATGAAGCAATTGCGCTCGACATTGAGGCACAGGTGGACCTTACGGACTCTGCAGAGCCACATGTTTGACCTCAAGATGTGCCCCTTCCTGCTGCAGTGCTTGCTGACCGGTGGACAGGGGCGTAGAAAAGGGACAGGTACAACCACACAAAATCATCTGGGGTGTGGCTACGGTGTCCCCAAATAGGTTTAGGAAGATCTACAGAGATACTGAGGCTTCTTAGAGCTGCTAAGCTCTTTCGGTGGCGAGACAAGACTGGCCTCTGGGTGCTGGCAGACCTGAAAACCTGGATCCTGAAGTTCTTTAGTGACAGGCCATCCACAGCAAGAGCCTTGCAGTCCAAGTTCTAGCTGACCGAGGCATTTGTGAGGCTGACATCAACTGCATATGCAAACAGCCGCATGTACCACCTCTTGGATTTCATGGGGCTACGGTAGAGTTGGACCAGCATGTCACTCTTGTCAATTCCCCCCATGTTGGAATTGTAGCTTTTGGTGGCAGCAGATCAGGAAAGGCACAAAATGTACCATCTCGTCTTTTCTTTTCTTGACTTCTGGATAAACAAGGAAGTTTGAGATGCTCTGGCTCACTTGTGATTAGTCAGAGTCCATAGCAATGCTACCTATGACATAGCCTGACCATCGCTGATTGTCTGGAGACGTGGGGGCGCCATTCTTGTAGTCTGTGGAAGTTACCATATATGCTTCCTTGACCGATGAAGGGTGTGCACATCACTTGCAGAAATACGGGCAATGTCTGAGCACATGGCAGCGAACATTAGCTAGCAAGCCAATTAACATGATGACAATTACCCAAAAATATAACCCAATAAACCCATTGAATAGTACATGTGCTGTAATTTGAATTTGTACAGAGCAAAAACGAGTGCAGAGATATCTGTAGACCTGTTCTGATGATGGAAAACAGAATCTGTTGAAGTTTGAATGAATACATTCTGCATGCTGCTAATGTCTGTGTGTCCATTACTGTGATTTTAAAAAATTTGTTGGCAGGGAGAAATAAGTAAAGTAATAATATTCCTTTTGAAAAGAGTAATAAAGTAATGTTTCCATTATTATGAATAGAAATAAGTCTAGAAGAAGATGGCTGAAGAAACCCTTTGACATGATGATATTTTTCATTTATTTGAATATGTAACACTTCTATCCTTTACTTAACAGCTACAGAAATATGACCTTCCTCTCATTAATTTTCATATTTTTAGATAAGACAATTACTTTTCAGTCACAAACAAAACATATTCTACTTTAAACTGATTATAAACTAATGATTACAATTTTAAATATTATAGTAAATTATACCATAAGGACTTGTATCTCAAGCCTTCACTGCATTAACTCCCTGCTAGGTATCACCTGCTAACGTCAGTCAATAATTGTCTTTCAGATCTGTAAGGGCGTGCTGCGGCCGTGTCGTGCTCCAGCACATCGCACAAATATCATGAAAATTTCTCGATTATTGCCATATAAGGCTTGTCATTGTGTTCAGGAAGGGACTCCTATCAGACCAATTGTTTATTCTTCTATTATTCTTATTTTGTTTATTAATAATTTGTTTTGCCTTTAATAGATATTAATAGCTGAAGAGAGAGAGAGAGAGAGAGAGAGAGAGAGAGAGAGAGAGAGAGAGAGAGAGAGAGAGACAGAGAGAGAGAGAGGTCGGATTTGGTTGGATTACGTGGGAAACTGAAGCTTCTTGAAGAAAATCCACAGCAACACGGTGAGCACTCTGTATTCCTCACAGCAAAGGGGGTCAAAGGCCGGAATTGAACTCTCACCCTATAGTTGCAAGGCCACAGTGTTAAACACTGAGGCACCTGTGTGGCCCTATGACACCTGATGTCAATTCAAATTTACAGAGAGACCCAACAATTCCCACCATGAGCAAGCACTTGGCGACAGCGGCAAGGAAAAACTTCCTTTTAAGAGGCAGAAACCTTGGACAGACCCCGGCTGTAGGTGGGTGGCCGTCTGCCTCGACCAGTTGGGCACTTCCTGCTTCTTGGGCAAAATAATAATATGTAAAGTTCTACCACCAACAAAGCCTCTCGGAGTAAAACCGTTGACATTTCAGTTAGTACATGTGTGTCGTAACTGCCAAAGATTACTCTTTGCGTCCAGAGCAGGCAGTGTTGGGGTCAACTAGGATCTATGATAACCTGTGAGATGAAAAACTCTGGTTCCTCTGTGCAACAAGACGACATCTGAGGGTAGTAGCACAGAGCGATTTTTTTCCATTAAGGTTTAAAATGTGGGCGAACCGAAGCCTCTCGGAGTAAACCCTATGTCATTTAAGTTACTATGCGTGTATTTTTGTCTGTGTTTTTCCTAACCACCACCTCGAACCCACCAAAGATTACTGTTTGCGTCCAAAGCGGGCGGTGAATGGCTTGGTCACGGTCTTTAAGAGTCGTGAGACAAATCTGTTCATGCCGGTCTTTTCATGTGGTGTCACTAGATGCTGTTGCTGCTTGGGCCCTAGTAATAATAATAACATTAGCAGTTGAGCGACTAGACGAACTCTGAGGCTAGTAGCACAGAGCGATCCACCAGACTTTTAGTTTTGTTGGTACTTAGGTTTTTTTTCATTAAGGTTTAAAATGTGGGCGAACCGAAGCCTCTCGGAGTAAACCCTATGTCATTTCAGTTACTACGCGTGTATTTTTGAGTGTGTTTGTCCTAACGCCTTGAAACCCGCCAAAGATTACTCTATGCGTCCAAAGCGTACTTAGCTTTTTTTCATTAAGGTTTAATGTGGGCGAACCGAAGCCTCTCGGAGTAAACCCTATGTCATTTCAGTAACTACGCGTGTATTTCTGTGTGCGTTTGTCCTAACGCCTTGAAACCGCCAAAGATTACTCTTTGTGTCCAAAGCGTACTTAGGTTTTTTTTCATTAAGATTTAAATGTGGGCGAACCGAAGCCTCTCGGAGTAAACCCTATGCTATTTCAGTTACTATGCGTGTCCTAACCACCACCTCGAACCCGCCAAAGATTACTCTTTGCGTCCAAAGCAGGCGCTGAATGGCTTGGCCACGGTCTTTAAGAGACGTGAAAAGAAGCTGTTCCCGCCAGTCTTCTTCTCTGGCATCACCAGATGGTTCTTAATTGTCTCAGTTATGTATCTGTAAATAGATACATCCCGGGACAGCAGGCACATCTGCAAGATCCCTGCATCACCTGTCTTCTTGCACAACTCTTTGCGCACCGCCTTGGCCACCCTTTTGATATGATGGCCGCTTGGCTTGACAGCAACGTTAGATCCTGCCATCTGTTCCCAAAGCAACTTCCCCAGTGTCCCGCTGATGTTTTCAATGTCTATGCAAGTCAGACTAACGTTTAAATGTTTCTGACTTTCCATGACTTTTTGAAAAAGTGCAACTGCCATGACCTTGCAGCTCATTTCGTTCCACTGATGGGCTGCTGTTGCTGCAGTCTCACCTACAGCTTCACCAGCCTCATCTCTGATAGCTGACACGACGGACTGAATGGAGGTGGAAGATGGTTCTTCTACAACCACAATCAAAGTGTCACCAGACTCATCTCGGCTTGGTGACTTGCCGGACTGAATGGGGGTGAAAGGGGATTCTACTATATCCACCAAAGTGTCACCAGACACATTTCGGCTTGGTGCCTTGATGGACTGAATTGGGGTGGAACGTGATTCTGGTTCAACAACCAACGTGTCACCAGCCTTAATACTTACAACGACCTCCGGAGCAATAGAAGCTGATCTTGACAGAGGTGTCACACAGCCACTTTCTATGACTGAGGGGACAATTGTGGGCGATCGCTGGCTGATTACCCCCCTGATTTCCTTCACAGCCAGACTTGCGTGGTCCCTCTTCTTCTTGTGGAGCTTTAGCTGCTGGTTGAGCCAGTTTCGTATCTTCCTCATAAAGCTGTCAACTTCTCCCTGTACCTCAAACCTGAACTCCAAAGAGGGGTCCTGCTCAAGATGCTGTGAGACAATATCCCCGAGTTCAATGGCAGCCATGTTGTGTTGTCCACTGGATATTACCTCTGCGATTTTCTCGTACGGGCACTCGTCTTCGGCGCCATTATTTATGTCCTCCGCATTTAATGAAATGATGGTCTTCACCACCAGATCAGCCTCCTCCATTAGGTGACTCAGAGACCTCTTTTCTTCCGAGACGCAATTATACTTACGCCTCAGTTTTGTCACAAGGCCGAGTAGTGACCCCATGGCAAATTTTACCGCAAAAAACGCCTTAAGTTTATCTCCCACTGTTTTCCAATAGGATAACTTTATAGATTCAGCCACTGATTCCGGCACTGTACCATCTAATTTGATTTTCAGGTCTTCAATTATTTGTTTGACTATCAAAAAAGCCATCTTGTTTGTGTCCCGGGAGGAGCCGGACTCAAACTCTTGACATTCTTCATCTGAAATATTAACGTTATCACTAATTGGGGTAATGCTTTTTGCCTGTTCTTCCAGGATATTTTTCACAGCTTCTCTTGTTTCAATGACGAAGCTCGTTATTGGCAGAATGTCTGTCTCATCCACAAAGGGAACTACAGGGGTCTGTGAAGACTCCCCGGTTTCAATTGGCGTGGTGCCCTCCTCACCTGTACAGTTCTTCAACATTCTCGCCACATGTCGGACCATGGTCTTCAGTCTGTGCGTGAATGATGGTGAGACGGGAGGACTTTTCCCTTTATTGCTGCCTCCAATACTTCCAGAGGCATTGGAGAGCTCATTTACTCGCTCAGTGACCTCTTTAACCACAGCGTTGGTCACCTTCTCCACGCTTCGGCAACTGACTCTGTCCCCGGTTGCCTCCGTGAAGGCCTGTAATATTGCATCTCCTAGAAATCTGCGAACGTCATCTTCGGATATGCTGCTCTTCTCTTCAGACCCAGAAGAGCTTTTAGAGGATTTGTTTCTCCTCTTGAGTTCGCTCCGTTCAAACATCTCTTGAATTTGTATGAATAACATATTTACAATATCCACACACAATTCAGTAATTACATCCTCTGGGGTGCTGTCTTGAGACCCGCCTTGCTGCTTCGACAACTGTATGTTTGTCAACTTCTCCAGGCTCTGTTGGATAAGTACGCGAAAACTCTCCATTCTAGCTTGATCCATTTGGCTTGGTGACTTTATGGACTGAATCGGAGTGGAACGTGGTTCTGGTTCAACAACCAACGTGTCACCAGCCTTAATACTTACAACGACCTCCGGAGCAATAGAAGCTGATCCTGACCCAGGTGTCACACAGCCACTTTCTATGACTGAGGGGACCTCTGTGGGCGATCGCCTGCTGATTACCCCCCTTGATTTCCTTCACAGCCAGACTTGCGTGGTCCCGCTTCTTCTTGTGGAGCTTTAGCTGCTGGTTGAGCCAGTTTTGTATCTTCCTCATAAAGCTGTCAACTTCTCCCTGTATCTCAAACCTGAACTCCAAAGAGGGGTCCTGCTCGAGATGCTGTGAGACAATATCCCCGAGTTCAATGGCAGTGCTGCTGTGTTGTCCACTGGATATTGCCTCTGCGATTCTTTCGTCTTCGGTGCCATTATTTATGTCCTCTGGATTTAATGAAATGATGGTCTTCACCACCAGATCAGCCTCCTCCATTAGATGGCTCAGAGACCTCTTTTCTTCCAAGACGCAATTATACTTACGCCTCAGTTTTGTCACAAGGCAGAGTAGTGACCCCATGGCAAATTTTACCGCAAAAAACGCCTTAAGTTTATCTCCCACTGTTTTCCAATAGGATAACTTTATAGATTCAGCCACTGATTCCGGCAGTGAACCATCTGATTCGATTTTAAGGTCTTCAATTATTTGTTTGACTATTGAAGAAGCCATCTCGTCTGTGTCCTCAGAGGAGCCGGACTCAAACAATTGACATTCTTCATCTGAAATATTAACATTATAACTAATTGGTGTAATGCTTTTTGCCTGTTCTTCCAGGATGTTTTTCACAGCTTCCGTTGTTTCAAAGATGAAGTTCGTTACTGACAGCATGTCCGTCTCATCCACAAAGGGAACTACGGGGGTCTGTGAAGACTCCCCGGTTTCAATTGGCGTGGTGCCCTCCTCACCTGTACAGTTCTTCAACATTCTCGCCACATGTCGGACCATGGTCTTCAGTCTGTGCGTGAATGATGGTGAGACGGGAGGACTTTTCCCTTTATTGCTGCCTCCATTACTTCCAGAGGCATTGGAGAGCTCATTTACTCGCTCAGTGACCTCTTTAACCACAGCGTTGGTCACCTTCTCCACGCTTCGGCAACTGACTCTGTCCCCGGTTGCCTCCGTGAAGGCCTGTGATATTGCATCTCCTAGAAATCTGCGAACGTCATCTTCGGATATGCTGCTCTTCTCTTCAGACCCAGAAGAGCTTTTAGAGGATTTGTTTCTCCCCTTGAGTTCGCTCCGTTCAAACATCTCTTGAATTTGTATGAATATCATATTTACAATATCCACACACAATTCAGTAATTACATCCTCTGGGGTGCTGTCTTGAGACCCGCCTTGCTGCTTCGACAACTGTATGTTTGTCAGCTTTTCCAGGCTCTGTTGGATAAGTGTACGAAAACTCTCCATTGTAGCTTGATCCATTTTGTCTGTTAGTATCCTTTGATTCGAAATCTTGAAGAATCGGTGGTAAAGGTGTTTGTGTCCTTG